ATCGCCACTTCGCTGGCCCAGTCAGAAGGACAGCATCGGTATGAGAAATCTGTTCGGCGTGAAGAACCCGGTCTGGAAGTACCTGCGCACCAAGATCGCGCCCACGCTGACGAGGAACAAGCTGAGGCAGATGTTCCCGCTGATGATGGAGATCGGCACGCCGATGATGGAGTATCTGGAGAAGCAGCCAGCGGTCCGCGGCAATGCGAAGCTCGTGGACGTGCAGGAGCTCAGTTACAAGTACACGACCGATTTGATCGCGTCCGTCGCCTTCGGCACGAAAATGGACACCTTTCACAATCCGAACACGGAGTTCTCGTCCGGAGGTATTAGTTTTGTGAATTAAACGGCTGAATGCGCGACAGAGTAATCGATAGAGACGGCTGTCGTGTCATTAACTGCGATGCAACTTTAACGTTACATGCGCAATAATTTTGCAGTTTACAAATACTTTCACTCGTTCAAGAGGATGGTCGCTCTGGTGACGGTGTTCTTCATGCCCGAGCTGGTGGAGCTGATCGGGACGAAGATACTTTTTGACTTCTCCTTCGCGCGTAAGGTTTTCTGGAGCGCGATGGAGAATCGCGAAAAAACCGGCGATAAACGAGGCGACTTCATCGACTCGTTGCTCCAACTCAAGTACGGCGAACAGAATCCTGTTTACAGTGAGTAAATTTGTGCTTTCAATTTTTTATTATTCATTTCATTGTATCTCGGCAATAATTAACGGAATATTATTATTATACGTTTTTAGTACAATCTTTTACGCTTTCCGTTTTCTATTTTTTGTACGCCCTTCCTCTGATAATTTTTACGATCTTTTTTTACCGTGTATTTTACTGCAGTTAAATAAATCAAGAGATAATATAAAAATTACAATCGGCTGATGTTTACTGCAGAATTTGAAGGTGAAAATCTGCTGCATCAGTCCGGTACTTTATTTTCCGGCTTCGAATCGAGCAGTACCTGCATGTCCTTCACCCTGATGGAACTAGCGAATTATCCAGAGTGTCAGGACTTAGCCAGGCAGGACATCAATCAAGCAATCGCCAAGCATGGCTGGTCATACGAAGCGTTCAACGATATGAAGTATCTTGATCAAGTGATAGCCGAAGCTCTTAGACTGCATCCACCAGTGTCCACCATCGACAGATACACTCGTCAAGATTACAGAGTAAGTCCGAAATGTCATACCTTTAGACATCTTTCTCTTCTGAAATATTTAAGTCGAGATTCAAAGTCCTTTCGAACTAATGCTGTTGACTCGCGCAAATGTCAAACAAAAAACTTTTCTTGAAATGTCCTTCTTCAAAACTCTAAATCATTGCAAATTTTGATATAAAATTATTTAAGATAGTAGAGAAGTATAATTTTTTAAAACTTATACGTTTAGAAGTTGAATACTGTGAAAGACTTAACAGAGATTATTTATTACAAAATAATCTTGTTCATAAAGTTTACTCTCTTAGAAATAAACTCTTTTGTTCACTCTAATAATTTATTAGAATATCGAAAAAGGTGTAAATGTGTATGTGTTTCAGATTTCTGGCACCGATATCATTATTGAGAAAGGAACACCGGTATTTATTTCTCTGTACGGACTCGGTGAAGATCCGAAGTTTTGGCATGCGCCGGAAGTATTCAACCCTGACAGATTCGCTGAGAATAACTGCGACACGAGCGTTTACCTACCGTTCGGATTAGGTCCCAGGATGTGCGTAGGTAAGTAGTATATTTGCATTATAGTAGTAATTTATTCTGTTCTACAATTCTTGTAAAAAGTACACAACAAAATTTTGTTATTATTATAACAAAAAAGTAGTAGCATATAAAAAAGAAAAAACGTAAGGAAAGATAAAGACTGTGATGAATTATCGTGACTTTATTGAAATTGATATCGAATTTATTTAGAACAGAAATTCAGAATTATTAAAAAGGAGCGTAGAGAGCCAAAAAGCAAGATGATCGTGCAATAATTTATTACTTAATTTACATAATCATAAACGTTTCGGCTTGTCATCAAGTCTTTATCAATATTAATAATAAAAATAACAGAAAGGCGCAACGCATTAATTATAAAGAAGTGAGAACATGTTACAGTTTATCGGAAAAATCCATAGAAGAACAGCCGTAACGTTCGAAATCAAACGACATTAAGACTGTAATCAGATCAAAAGAAAACAAATAAGAATTCCTATTATATTAAAACCGCTAGTCGAAAACAGAGTTAAAATAATGTTACATACTTGTGATAAAATCATAGTGTAGGCGAATAGAACAACCCCTCAATAGTAAGATAGAAGAGAAGCACTTAGGTCCATCTTAAATGATGGTCAAAATCTTAATGATTATAAAAGAGTAAACCAAATTAAGGTGAAAGTAAAGAGAATGAAAAGAAGGGAGGGGAGGACGGAAAGGCAAGGAGTAGAAGAAGGGAGGCATATGTAGAATGGAGGGGTAAAATGTTAGTGTGGGAGAGAGAAGTAATAAAATTATAATGAAGGAAACAGATTAATAATAGGGAGATAAGCATCGAGTAACCTTTCAGTGTCTTTCTGATTATTCAAGCCTGCACGTTGTCTTTTAATAAAAACCATTTCTGAAATCATTCTTTTAGCATAAGAAGGTTCACCGTCCAATATTTTTACATTCTCCCAGTCAAACTCGTGAGAGAACTCAATCTTATGTTTAGAAATGACGGAAGGAGAACCACTCTTTTTATTTATGTCGTTCCTATGTTCCTTGATTCTGGTATTAAGTTGTCTCTTGGTCTGTCCAACGTACGTTTTGTCACAATCACGACACGCAATCATATAAACGACTTGACAATGAGAAAATTTGTTCAAAATGTCTTTACTAGTCTCAATAAAATGAGTCAAATTATTAAGAATCGAGAAGGCTAATTTTAGGTCGGAACTTCTGGCAATGGAGTTAAAATCTTTGTAGAAGGATGAAATGTACGGAATAGTAAAAAAGTCTTAAAACCATTGTTATCGCAGTTATTATTTAAAATATTGCCTGTAGAATTAATATCACTAGTCTTATGGATTAAAAATTTAAGTCTATTACGTATCGTCGAAAAAATAAAATCAATAGGATAACAATTTTTTAAGAGAATGTTAATAGCCAGAGTAAAATTCTTATTATGGAACTCAGGATGGGAGAGTAAAAAAATTTTGTCCGTCAAGCCTATAATAGTCCCTTTTTTGTGTGATATAGGATGGTGGGAATGGTAGTTTAAAAGTCTACCTGATGCCGTAGGTTTTTGAAACCAGTCGAAAGAAATTGTATTATTAGTCAAAATTAAAGTTACGTCTAGGAAGTTGATGCGATTATCTAAACCTACTTCAACAGTAAACCTAAGTCTATCATGATGTGAATTAAACTCATCACGAATCGAATTTATGAGACTCATTTTATTGAGACTGGTAAAGACATTTTGTACAAATTTTCTCATTGTCAAGTCGTTTATATGATTGCGTGTCGTAATTGTGACAAAACGTACGTTGGACAGACCAAGAGACAACTTAATACCAGAATCAAGGAACATAGGAACGACATAAATAAAAAGAGTGGTTCCCCTTCCGTCATTTCTAAACATAAGATTGAGTTCTCTCACGAGTTTGACTGGGAGAATGTAAAAATATTGGACGGTGAACCTTCTTATGCTAAAAGAATGATTTTAGAAATGGTTTTTATTAAAAGACAACGTGCAGGCTTGAATAATCAGAATGACACTGAAAGGTTACCCGATGCTTATCTCCCTATTATTAATCTGTTTCCTTCATTATAATTTTATTACTTCTCTCTACTACACTAACATTTTTACCCCCTCCATTCTACATATGCCTCCCTTCTTCTACTCCTTGCCTTTCGTCCTCCCTCCTTCCTTCATTCTCTTTACTTTCACCTTAATTTGGTTCACTCTTTTATAATCATTAAGATTTTGACCATCATTTAAGATGGACCTAAGTGCTTCTCTTCTATCTTACTATTGAGGGGTTGTTTTTTCGCCTACACTATGATTTTACCACAAGTATGTAACATTATTTTAACTCTGTTTTCGACTAGCGGTTTTAATATAATAGGAATTCTTATTTGTTTTCTTTTGATCTGATTACAGTCTTAATGTCGTTTGATTTCGAACGTTACGGCTGTTCTTCTATGGATTTTTCCGATAAACTGTAACATGTTCTCACTTCTTTATAATTAATGCGTTGCGCCTTTCTGTTATTTTTATTATTTATATTGATAAGGGCTTGATGACAAGCCGAAACGTTTATGATTATGTAAATTAAGTAATAAATTATTGCACGATCATCTTGCTTTCTGGCTCTTTACGCTCCTTTTTAATAATTTTGATTTTGAAAATCTTATGAGCCTTATATCATTTTAATTTAGAAATTCAGAATTTTATTTTCTAGAGATCGTATCGCCATTGAAATCGATAAAGCGCGATAGAATTAATTATCGATAAAGTATTGTAAAATTGATTATTATCGATAAAACGTGATAGAATTAATTATTATCTGCATATAAAAGCAGATAGATTTATATTGCAAACTAATCGATAAATCGGATGATATAATCGGTGAAACGTAATATACAGGGTGGTTCATGAAA